AAATATACAGCAGGTTTTGGTGGATGTTTGCTGTGTCCAGTAATACATACATAGTTACATAGCCCAAAAGAGACATGCGTCCATTCAGCCTCTCACACATTTGATTAATTTCTCCAAAAGAAGGTAAAAAACCCCAGTCTGCAGCGATTCCAATTGTGCAACAAACTAAGGGACAAAATCCTTCTTGACCTCAGAATGGAAGTCAGATATCTTTTTGGATCAAGAAGTTATTACCTCACTAATTAAAATTTATATCTCTGTATATTATGTTATTACAAGTATTTGTTTAACTGCTGTTTAAACATCTGCATACACTCTGATAAAACCACCTCTTCAGGCAGAGAATTGCACATCCTTATTGTTATTAATGCAAAAAACCCTTTCCTTTGCCTTCTACTAAATCTCCTTTTTTCCCGTCTGAATGCATGACCTCGTGTCCTATATATACTCCAGTTTATGAATAGATTTCTACACAATGGTTTGTATTGGCCCAGAATATATTTGTATAATGTTATCATATGCCATCTGAGGCACCGTTTGAATGTGTTAATACGCCATAACAAATCATGAAGATAGCATGTGTTTATTCACTAAACACAAAACAGTTTTGAAATACTCAAATCACAACATTTAGGCTAAAATAGCCACACTGTAACTGTGGCAAAGTTAGGAAATGTTTCCAGATCTTCTATGTTTTGTTTTTTTCTCCTAATGTAGTATTAATAACAAAACTAAGACCTGTAATTAGACATGTGCATTCGTTTTTGGACGAATCCGATTTTGATATTGATAAAAGGGAGACATGCCGCGAGTAGGGGCATGTTGCCTAAACAAATTTAAAACTACTAGTGACTAGGCAGCTATTGAAATCCAACCAGAGTGCTCTGTGTCATTTGACACAGCGTGGGAAAGTTCTTTGGAATTTGGGGAGTGGTAGGAATGGTTATTTATTACAAGGAGGGAGCTGGTAGTGCTGTCGGCTCCCTCCTTGCTTTTTTTTTTCCGCATGGGTAGTGCTGTGTTCATCCTAAACGAATGGTTTGCGGATGAAATTCGGGATTGACGAATAGAGTTTTTATTTAGTACGAAATAATTTGTACGAAACAAACATTTTACTGGTGCACATGTCTACCTGTAATCTCCTCTGTAAAGGGTAGTCCGAGAAAGGACCCTTGCTAAAAGGGCTACTGTCACTTCTCTGGTGTTTACACCATTAAATAAAGCTTTGAAAAAACACCTAAGACTTGTGTTAACCCTTTGTTTCATAAACTGCACTGTTTCCTTTTAAATTTATGTTGAAGATTTATCATGTGACATCACAATCCAGATCAGACAAGGCAATGGCAGGACAAACATTGCTAATGAAGAGGAAAACTAGAAACATTATTTAATTTCTCCTCTTCTCTGTATGCTTACTCAATGTGGATTGCCAGGCATAGACAGGACTGAGAGTATAACAATGATTGACAGAGGGCTAAAATGGAGGCACCCAGTTACTGGATAAATTTAATTTTATTTTGCACACCTCACACCTTGTTAAATATGGTGATAAGCAAATATATTAAAATCCTGGGAAATGAGCAGAGTTATGTTGCTCGCATCTATGTCTGTGGGGAAGAAATGTATATTAATAGTATATAAGGGATTAAGATATCCTTAAAACATGTCGATTCCAAGGTTTCTATGGATGAACTGTGGATTTTGGAGACATTTAAAGGAACACTATAGGCACCTAAATTACTTTTGCTAAATAAAGCCGTTTTAGTGTATAGATCATTCCCCTGCAATTTCACTGCTCAATTCACTGTCATTTAGGAGTTAAATCACTTTGTTTCTGTTTATGCAGCTCTAGCCACACCTCCCCTGGCTATGATTGACAGAGCCTGCATGAAAAAAAGACTGGTTTCACTTTAAAACAGATGTAATTTACCTTAAATAATTGTATCTCAATCTCTAATATGAACGTTAATCACATACAGGAGGCTCTTTCAGGGTCTAGCAAGCTATTAACATAGCAGGGGATAAGAAAATCTTAATTAAACAGAACTTGCAATAAAGAAAGCCTAAATAGGGCTCTCTTTACAGGAAGTGTTTATGGAAGGCTGTGCAAGTCACATGCAGGGAGGTGTGACTAGGGTTCATAAACAAAGGGATTTAACTCCTAAATGGCAGAGGATTGAGCAATGAGGCTACAGGGGCATGTTCTATACACCAAAACTGCTTCATTAAGCTAAAGTTGTTCAGGTGACTATAGTGTAACCTAATATTGTATGTATCAGTGACTGTGGGTTTCTGATCAAAGCTGGTTAGGTATTAGTATCATTCTCAATGAGGGGGAGGCAGTCAGACCCATGTGACAGCCCTCTGGGGTGTGCACAGAGCACACCCTTTCGGAGCAGGAGCCTGCCTAGCGGTGGTGGAGCTCCTGCTTAGCAGTGTACCCTTGCAAGCCACAGGGAGGTTGTAGGGATCAGTCTGCGCTGTGACCGCACAGCTCCCACGCTGACCTGTTCTAACGCCAAGAGCTGGGAGGTAACATCACTCCATACCTAGCATCAATACAGAGCTGCCTATTCCCGAGCAATCTTTGCAGAGACTGATTCCAGCATTAAACCTCTAGACACCACGGATAACGATGTTTATAAAGTTTGGTTTGAGCATGGCCCTTCTATTCCTATATGTCTTGTTGCAACTACTTGTTTGTTAGCCCACCTTTTGTACAGCAATGTAGAATTTTGTTATTTGTTAAATAACAATAATACCATTCCTGTGGAATTCGCTTCCCTCCTCCATTAGATGCTCACCCAGTCTCCACTCCTTTAAAAAATTGTTAAAAACCCACTTCATCATAAAAGCGTATCATTTAAACTGTTAATAGCTCCTGACTGATTCCTCTTCTGCAACTGTCACTAGTCTAATACTATCCTTACTTTTTGTGTCATTTTACCCCACTCCCTCTAGCATGTAAGCTCATTGAGCAGGGCCCTCAACCCCTCTGTTCCTGTGTGTCCAACTTGTCTGGTTACAACTACATGTCTGTTCGTCCACTCATTGTAAAGCGCTGCGGAATTTGATGGCGCTATATAAATAACATAATAATAATAATAATAATAATAATACAGTACAAATAAAATGAGTGTGCAAGTGTATGAATTTGTTTGTATATGAATGTGTGTATATGAATGTGAGTGATTATATGAATGTGTGCGTGTGCATATAAATGTGAATATGAATGCGTTCTTGTGTGTATGTTTGTGCATGTATATAAATGTTTGTGTGTGCACATGAATGTGTGAGTGTGAGTATGAATCTGAGCATGCATGTGTGTGAGTGTTTGTGTGTGAGTATATGAGTGTAGGTATTCGTAATTATCTCTAACAAATGGGTGTTACCGGCACTGCAGAGAGACAACAATTAAATATCCAATACGCTGCAATGTCTTCAAGACAGAAGGAAGTAAATGCACCTTCAAAACGCTGTGTAAGGAGATTGCAATAACTGTTGCATAGACCAAGGCAGGGGATGATGAGAATTTATCATGGGCCTGGCACCGAATTGGCATGGTGGCACTGTAGATTGCTGACTCAATACTCTGTATTAATAACAAAGCCCTAGTTTGTTTAATATGATGAATATGAGCCAATATAAAATACTGTTTTAGGGAACACTAAGTGTGACTAAACATGTCTTTATCTGCCTGTAAAAACATTGGAATGCTGATAGAGCTCCAGCGAATGACTAATAAAATGCAATCCTTAACACCAGCTGGTAATTATGACCTTTTGATAAAAACTTCTGAAATAGATTAAAGAAAGATTTATTAGGATATCTATAAACTAAGAAATGAATGTCCCACTTTATGAATAATCCCACCTCTAGGCATGATTTATAGTCACATGATCGGTATAGATAATAAATACAGGCAAGCGACACAGTGACACTGTAATGTAACCAAATACACCATCACACACATATACATACTCAGTCTGCATCTGAGAAAATATCATCAATGTATTTTTTATATATTTTTTTTCATTTTAAAAAAAAGTTTTTCCTTAAGTCGTTCTATGTTAGCCGGACACGAACAGAACAAGAGAAATTATGGCAAGACTTAGGTGGGTAGTTTACTAGTAGTCTAATAGAGTCAGTAAAACGATGAATGAGTATAGTACATATACACACATGTCCTCCATGAAGTATGGATTTAGCAGATGTCATATTGCACTTGTTCTGCCCTTAAACTTCACGCATGTATCAAAATTATAACCATCATATTCTCCAATGGCATTCAATACATAACCCTTACATACATTTAAAGAAGGGACTATAGCTGAATCCGCAATACAGCATTCCATGCATGTTATGGAGGTCCTTGTGCATCCTCTCACGTACAGTTTAGTGACCAACATTTATAATAGCTGGATCATACAGAGTGTCATTATGAATATTTTTCATTTAGGCTTAATTATCCAAATAATCCTCTCCGTATGACGAGAGAAAATCTGGCAAACTGGATTAACAAGCTTTTTAAAATTCTTATTAAGTGACAAAACACAGCACATCAAAACATGCCAATTTCCATGTAACAGATTAATGTAAACGTCATCAAGCATCTTGCATATGAATTGTCCCTCGAGTTATTCCCTTGTCTCTGTACAAACAGACCTTATGTCTGTAGGGATTAGACACAAGGTCTTTTTCTTTCATCGTTGCCATTTCTAAGTGGGAGAAGAGGTATAGACAGGTAGCTGGAGAAGACCCTGTCCCTTGGGAGGACTCGATGACCAGTTTCTGTTGGCAGGGTGTGTTTAATCAAGTACCGGGTGTGCCAATGTGTCTAATGTTGGGCAGTACTGCTATAATTGATTCTTCCAGTTAAACTGGTCTGGGCTGGGAGAGAAACTAAAAAAAGCGGTATAGTGTTGCCTCCTATCTGAAATTAGGACACCAGTTCCTATAAAGGTGCCCTTTTTCTAATCCGTTCAGTTATTCTTTCTCCATCTGCACCTTGGCAGACAAGGTAAGTCTCATATTTACCAAGAGTCTGGATTTTTTTACAAAGTTAACAGTAAATGTACAGGATGGGGCAATGCTACAAGTTGTGAAAGCAAGACTTACTAAAATTTTGAATAGTGGGCAATAATTTTAAAAACTGTGCCATTAAGATGATGGAGAAACAAAAACTTCGAAATTCACCAGGTGTTACAATCATCTGAAGGATCATGCTCCTCTTGTTATCAGCATGGACGGCATTGGGTTAACTGAGCTGAATGCAAACTTTATTTCGAATGGACACAGACTATAACACAATGTAGGGGATTTCTTTGCTGATATGTTAAGCACATGTGAAATAATTTTGTGTTATTCATTTTATTTAGCACTGAACATCCAACTTCACATTTTGATGATATAAACATCATGACTTTAGGTCATTAAAGGACCACTATAGTGCCAGGAAAACATACTCGTTTTCCTGGCACTATAGTTCCCTGAGGGTGCCCCCACCCTCATGGCCCCCCTCCCGCCCGGCTCTGGAAGGGGAAAAGGGGTTAAAACTTACCTTTTTCCAGCGCTGGGCGGGGAGCTCTCCTCCGTTCCTCCCCGTCGGCTGAATGCGCATGTGTGGCAAGAGCTGCGTGCGCATTCAGCTGGTCACATAGGAAAGCATTTACAATGCTTTCCTATGGACGCTTGCGTGCTCTCACTGTGATTTTCAATGAGACAGCCACTAGAGGAATTGGGGGAAGACTTAACCCATTCATAAACATAGCAGTTTCTCTGAAACTGCTATGTTTATAAAAGAATGGGTTAAGCCTAGCTGGACCTGGCACCCAGACCACTTCATTAAGCTGAAGTGGTCTGGGTGCCTAGAGTGGTCCTTTAAAAATATTCATGATAAAACTGTTTACAGTTTTTTTGTATTAGAAAATGTTCAATAAACACATTCGTGAATTTTTTTTTTTTAAATATGGTACATCAGTTTTACCCCTGTAGATACTTTGAGATGTTGCACTATGAATGTATACTCTGTATTCCTGAACTCTTGGATTAGATTAAAGCAGGGCTGCCCATTGTAGATCCCCATATCTTGTAAAACTATAACTCCCGCGATGCTTTGCATGCCTTTAGCATGCCTTTAGCATGGCAAAGCATCATGGAAGCTGTAGTTTTAAAATATCTGGGGATCTTCTTTTTGGGACCCGTTGCCTTAAAGAGTATATTCAACAGTGAGTTGATGTAAACTGAAAACTGAATTGCAACATTCAGACTACAATGGTAAAGTCGTGACTACATTTGAGTTGGAGAGTTTGTCCAACTCCCTTATTTTGTCCTGAATCTTGTGATTGGGTCTTCAGTTGATGGCAATTCGCATTCACCGCATTAACTGTAGGTTTCTTGTGATTCATGTCCCAGCAGAAATCGAGTTATGGTTGCCCTTGCTGTTATTTTGCAGTAAATTGTAAAACCTAGCCAAACATTTTGTATATTTATTTTGATGAATCATCTTGCCTATGAGTAAGATTGTGCCAAAAATAAAAATAATAACATAATAATCCAACAAATAATAATGTAAAGTTTGCAATAAGTGGTGAATTTTAACATTCAAAGTTTTAGTTGCCAGACCAGATTTTTGTGAAAAATCAAGGAAAATATTGCAAATGTTGCAATGGTAACCTAACTAAAATCTGTATTTTTGACATAAAAGGTGCAATTTGCTAGTGAATATTTTACACTTTCTGCATTAGTTTAAAAAAACAAACAAAAAAAACCCCTCTTTTGTTTAATGATATCTACACAAAAATACTGAATGACTTTAGAGCAGGAGTGCCAAAAGGTAATTCATCAGATGTTGTAGAACTATACTTTGTGTGCCTTTAGAATGGCAAATCATCATGGAAGCTGTACTTTTAAAACATCTGGAGAGCTACCTTTTGTGCACCCATGGTTTAGGTGTCCTTTACAAGAGCTACTTTGACTGTCAGAGTTATGATTACGTTTTTTTGTAGCAGATTCCTCTGTTGGGATCATATATCCCCTTATAACCCCATATGTGCCCCTCCTCCCCACTTATGCCTTTCTGCCTCCCAAACATTTTGACCCACACATGCCATTCTGATCACCTCTTTTTTATTTCACTTAGTTTTGTCTCTCTAGTGTTTTTCTCTATCACGTCTCTCCAGCTCCAATCTGTGTCTTTTCAACCCCTTGTCTGTCTCTCCAGCTTCAACATACCCCACTGTATGTTTCTTCATATCCCTACCCCCTCCTGTGCCATCCCATAATCTACCCGCCTGGAATGTAGCATGACAGGGCTGGACCAAGGCAGAGGTTATGCATGCGCCTCTATCCAGTAACTCAGTGAAGATCAGTGAGTGCAGCATGCAGTGTAACAATATAAGTGGATTTAGAGGAGAGATATTATGTCAAGTTATTTCTCCTCCACTTTAACTCACTGGGCATTCTGCATGTTCACGTATCCAATGAAAGACCTGGCAAAAGGGCACGTATAACCTCTGCCGTGGTCCTGCTCCGACACAATACAGTCAGTCACAGTACATAGCCAAGAATGAGTGCTCTGTACTCCCCGTCCCATCCGACACCCGGAGAGGTCTGCCCCCACTCCCAGAACCCTACTCATCTCAGGCACTCATGGAATTAATAGGGTTAGTCCCGTTAGTGAATACGTTTGACAGTGTACAACAGAGTAAAGGAGGAGACTATATTTAAAAGAAGAAAAACTACCACAACAAGAGGACATAGTCTTAAATTAGAGGGACAAAGGTTTAAAAATAATATCAGGAAGTATTACTTTACTGAGAGGGTAGTGGATGCATGGAATAGCCTTCCAGCTGAAGTGGTAGAGGTTAACACAGTAAAGGAGTTTAAGCATGCGTGGGATAGGCATAAGGCTATCCTAACTATATGATAAGGCTAGGGACTAATGAAAGTATTTAGAAAATTGGGCAGACTAGATGGGCCGAATGGATCTTATCTGCTGTCACATTCTATGTTTCTATACCTATGGACTTGTGCTCTAAACACTAGCAGCCCTCCAGTTCAATGCACCACAAGCCCTCAAATCAAGGTCACTGGACAAATGAGGCTTTGCCCACATATCTCTATTGTGTTATCTGAGTTACCAACTTACTGAGTCATTATGTGAATGGATCACACAAGTGCATTACATGTGCCATATGTTATATTCTCCTTGCAGGATTGAGGTATTTCTGCAACAATGGGAAAAGTTATTCATGCCATTGAAGAGATCATCGCAGTTTATAAAACATATGCACAGAAGGACTGCAGCAAAAATAAGCTGAACAAGGAAGAATTAAACCAGTTGATCCAGAATGAGTTTGCTGATGTCATCAAGGTAAGACAAATAGTGATAGAGACACACTCAATAAAGGGATTTTCTAAGCACCAAAACAACTTTGGCCTAACGACGTAGTTTGGGTAACCCTGCAGTCTCACTGTTCAAGGTTAATAATCTATAAATATTACACTGACTTCTGCTAGATTTTTTTATTCTGTCCACCGGTGAAACTTTAATGAAGTACGTAAAAACCAACAAATGGTCTGTGGCTTTGTTCTTTTGACTTTATATTTATTTAAAATCCCTTTGTCAGATTTAATAATATTACATAGGAAAACCGTGGCAGATGTTCCATAACAGATACTGTTTTGATTAATTAAATAACCGACCACTACAGTAAAATCTGATGAAGAATAACGTAATAATAAAAAAAAACAGCCGAGGCTACTATTAATAAATTTGGTGAGAGCAACACTAAATGGGTTTCTTCAATCCTTATTTTAGAATCCAAAGGATCCCAATACCATCTCGACTTTAATAAAGATTCTGGATGAGAATAATGATGGGGAGGTTGATTTCAATGAATTCTGTGACCTTCTGTGTAAGGTATTACAAGCCTACTACAAAGTGGTGCATGCATCAGAGGACACCTGTCAACAACAAACAGGGGGAACACAAACACCTAGCAAAGAGCCAACTGGGAGCAAACCAGACTCTCCACCTAAATATTATCAACGCCCTCTGTATCCAAAACATAACGAGAACACAGAAGAACCACCTAATTATGAAGCAACAGAGGTTTCTAAAGAGCCAATACAAAGTAGTGTGAACAAGCCAAAGGATGATACACACAAATGTGATGCTGTCGAAACTGTGCAGAGCTATACACAAACAGATCCCCGTAGAACTGGACATGGGTATGGTATGAGAGATTCTTCAAAATATGATCTGCAAAAGGACCAGAAGACAGAGGAGTCAAAAGACCAGAAGACAGAGGACTTGCCTAAGGAAACAAAGCAGAACAGAGAAGATTCAGACAGGTGGGAGAAACCAATCATACAGGGTGAAGGCCAAGAGTCTCAACCAGGCAAAGTTACACCCAAACCTCCATTGGAGCCACAATACAAAGACCAGACACCCCAGCCAGACTATGTAACACCCAGGCCTCCTGTAGAACCACAAATCAAAGTGGATCCACCCAAACAAGACTACGTAACACCCAGGCCTTATGTACAGCCTCAAAGCAAAGATCAAGTAGCTCAACCAGACTACGTAACCCCCAATCCTACAATAGAGCCCCAAAGCAAAGATCAAGTAGCCCAACCAGACTATGTAACACCCAAGCCTACTGTAGAGTCCCAAAGCAAAGACCATGTAGCTCAACCACACTGCATAACACCCAAGCCTACAGTAGAACCCCAAAGCAAAGATCAAGTAGCCCAACCAAACTATGTAACACCCAAGCCTCCTGTAGCTCAACCAGACTACATAACACCCAAGCCTACAGGAGAACCCCAAAGCAAAGATCAAGTAGCCCAACCAGACTATGTAACACCCAAGCCTCCTGTAGAGCCCCAATGTAAAGATCAAGTAGCCCAACCAGACTATGTAACACCCAAGCCTCCTGTAGGGCCCCAAAGCAAAGATCAAGTAGCCCAACAATGCAATGTAACACCCAAGCCTCCTGTAGGGCCCCAAAGCAAAGATCAAGTAACCCAACCAGACTATGTAACACCCAAGCCTCCTGTAGAGCCCCAATGTAAAGATCAAGTAGCCCAACCAGACTATGTAACACCCAAGCTTCCAGTAGAGCCCCAAAGTAAAGACCAAGCACCACTACCAGACAAATATACATCTCTGACTGCGAAGGAACAGCACACCATGGACCAAACACCACAAATCCCCCAACAAACTCAACAGTGCCATCAACCTCAACAATTTTATCAACAAACCGTGTGCCCACCTCTAAAACCTAAACCCTCAGATGAACAGGGCAAGCAATATCAAGTCTCCTTACAACCACCTTCCTGCAGTCAAAGCAAACAGGATCCGTCCCAAGAACAAAAACCAGATCAACAACCACCACAACAACCTCAGCAGCCGCAACGCCAGCAACACGTCTACCAGTACCAATACCACTATTCCAGCCAGAAGAAGAACCCTTGAGCAGATTACAATACCCTATCATTAATTTATCAAGCAGGGAGCCAACCTGCGCTATCTATATGCTACCTATGTGAAGAAAGCCTGCATTTAATGTGATTATATCAATGTATAATAAAGAATTTATGACTGCACCCCGGGTCTGAATAGACACCTTTTTACATCTTTCAAAAGAGATGGTCATACAAAAATCTACACTATTGTCACCAATATAGGTTTTCCACATTAACCACCACTTAACTATGCTAGCTTGCTTTTCGTCATTCCTTTAGCCCTGCTTTTCTACAGATATGATGAATATAAGTAGTTATAAGTATTGCATGACTGGGTTCTAGACTGTAATCAAAGGAATGCAATGATAAGCTGAAATCAGTTAAAGGAACACTATAGTCACCTAAATGACTTTAGCTAAATAAAGCAGTTTTAGTGTATAGATAATTCCCCTGCAATTTCACTGCTCAATTCACTGTCATTTAGGAGTTAAATCACTTTGTTTCTGTTTATGCAGCCCTAGCCACACCTCCCCTGGCTATGATTGACAGAGCCTGCATGAAAAAAAAAACTGGTTTCACTTTCAAACAGATGTAATTTACCTTAAATAATTGTATCTCAATCTCTAAATTGAACTTTAATCACATACAGGAGGCTATTGCAGGGTCTAGCAAGCTATTAACATAGCAGGGGATAAGAAAATCTTAATTAAACAGAACTTGCAATAAAGAAAGCCTAAATAGGGCTCTCTTTACAGGAAGTGTTTATGGAAGGCTGTGCAAGTCACATGCAGGGAGGTGTGACTAGGGTTCATAAACAAAGGGATTTAACTCCTAAATGGCAGAGGATTGAGCAGTGAGGCTGCAGGGGCATGTTCTATACACCAAAACTGCTTCATTAGGCTAAAGTTGTTCAGGTGACTATAGTGTCCCTTTAATACTCTTCGGCTATCGATTTTGCTGCTTGAGCTAATGATTCTGCTTTAGTTGAGCACCAAAGAGGAGGCATCTGACAAACAAATTAAAGTGTCTGTAAATCAATAAAACATGGTTTAACACTACAAGGTAAGACAGTGCCAGAGGAGTTCAAGAACCATAACCACCTTATTGAGATGCAGCAAAGACATATGGGAAGAAGGCTGAAATTGATATTTTCAGCTATGTAAGTATGTAACTATGTATAGGTACAATGAAAGTTTTCTCCAGTAGTGTACACACATATATATAATGTAAGTCAACTAATCTACATACTTTACAAAGCCTTGTAAAATAATATATATATATATATATATATATATATAAATATAAAGGGAAAAAGAAAGCAAAGAAAGTACACCCTCTTTGGATTCTATGGTTTTACATAATAGGACATAATAATAATCATCTGATCCTAAGCAGGACTTAAAATTAGGTAAATACAACCTTAGATGAACAACACAACATATTACACCGTATCATGATTTATTTAACAGAAATAAAACCATAATGGAGAAGCCATGTGTGAAAAACTAAGTATACCCTTACTGCTTCCATTATTATTAAGAGGTCTAGTAGAAGACATATGCTGCTAATCAAATGTCCTTGATTGATTGATTTATTGATTGATTGACCATCAACAAGTTTTCCCACACCTACCAGTTTGCTGGTCTGGAGCATTCAGGTTTGTGTTAACACAATGCCAACGAGGAAAGACATCAGCAATGATCTAAGACAGTGGTTCCCAATCTGTGGCACGCGTACCCCCAGGGGTACAATTCAGTGGTAGGTAATGGCGGCCGCACGGGTTGGGAATCCGGCCACCGGACAATTGCCGGTTTGCCGCGATGGCCATAGGCCGACAGGGGAGATCACGGGATCTCCCTTGCCAGCCCTAGCTAGGCCAGCGCTATCCGAGTGCCGGCCCTACTGTGTGCCTTCATGGGTCGGTGGGGAGATCAAAGATCTCCATCACTGGCCCACAGGCACTGATAGGCGGCCTGCAGACAGTGGCGTCTCTAGGATTCATTTTTAGGGGGGGCACATGGTGGGCCAGGGACAAAAGTAGGGGGGCACATTTAACCCCGCCCTCGTCACAGTTTGACCCCGTTCCTGCCGCATGTTAAGCCCCGCCCCCAACACAATGTGTTTTTTTTGTTTGTTTTTTAAATAATCCCTGGTGGAGAATTCATTATTTTCCACCAAGAATTATTAAAAAACAAACACATTTCCCTTGATACAGTCCATACACACACAGACTGCTGAGTCCTTACACACACAGAGACTGCTGAGTCCATACACACACAGACACACAGACTGCTGACCATACACACACACACACAGACACACAGACTGCTGAGTCCATACACACACACACAGACACATTGACTGCTGAGTCCATACACACACAGACACAAACAAAGACTACTGAGTCCATACACACACACACACACACACACACAGACTTCTGAGTCCACACACACACACACGCACACACACACACACCTGAGCATATCAAGCCTACCTGTCACTGGAGGTTGTTGCTGGGGGGTCAGACAACAGCCATCTTCCATCCTTTCCAGCAGCAGCAAGGTCTGCTGCTTAACGGCAGGGGTGGGGCTTATGTGCGGGAGGTGGGGCTTCATTGGGGGCGGGCCTGTGCCGGGGAGCCTGTCAGTGCTCCCTCCTGCCACAGAAAGCCCCCATCACTGTTCCAGCCCCTCAGTCCTGCATTCCCTCGGGCTGTAACAGACTGTTACAGCCAGAGGGAAGATAATTGTAAGCACAGCATATGGCCAGGAAGTTGCCAGCGTTTGGGGGGGCACAAAGGGGGGCACAAAGGGGGGCACAGAATGAGGGGGGCCATGGCCCCCTCTGCCCCCCCATAGCGACGCCACTGCCTGCAGAAGAGGGAGGGAGGAGCTGGGAGACAGAAGGTTCCTCCCGCAAGTTCGGCAATTCAGTACCACGGCAATGCTCCGAGGATCTCGCGAGAGGACTGAACTCTGCCTGCAGCCAGAGGAACTGCAGGTAGGATAGAGCTGCTCACCTCCACAGGACCACCAGGGCAATGTCCCCTCTCCATGAGGAAAAGGTAAGAAGAGGGGAGAGGGGACATATAGTTTATTAATATATATGTTTTTTTAGTAATAACATTTTTTGATGCACCGCGTGTCCCCCCCCCCACACACACAATACCCATCACCCACACACTGCACCCCTCACAAACACACAGAGCACCCCTTACAGTCACACACACAGTACCACCCCTCACACACACACACACAGAGCACCCCCCCACACACACACACAAACACAGCACACCTTACACACAAACACAGCAACCCCCACACACACACAGTACCCCCCACACACAAACAGCACCCCCCACACACTGTCAGGACAGGAAGGGGTGCTGCCCTGAGACAGCAATATCCCTTTAAATGTGGGAACCCAATTTGCAGAGAATAAATGACAAGACACAATGAATGAGAGTAAATAACAGGTATATATTATTACGAAAACCAAAAGACAAAGAAATATCAAACCATATACAAATACACAATGCCAAAAACAAGTATATACAGTAATTTAGGATTAGTACGAATGGTGCAGGCAGAGCATAAAGAACAGTCTTTTGGTATATGAAATACTCTTGGCAGGACCGGGCAGCCACCATGAACAGTGGGGTACACACAACCCTTGGGGCCCCAGTGCGAAAACTGATCTTACTCTGCGCGGGCCGGGGCCGCAACACATGGCGGCGGGCACCTGGTCGCAGGGCTGCGACCGCGGTATGTACGCCAGTGCATGCAGATACACTTAAAGGATCACTACAGACACCCAGATCACATCAGCTCAATGAATTGATCTGGGTGCCAGGTCCCTCTAGTTTTAACCCTGCAGCTGAAAACATAGCAGTTTCAGAGAAACTGCTATGTTTCACTGAGGGTTAATCCAGCCTCTAGTGGCTGTCTCATTGACAGATGCTAGAGGAGCTTCCGCGATTCTCACTGTGAAAATCACAGTGAAAAGACGCTGAAGTCCATAGGAAAGCATTGAGTAATGCTTTCCTATGAGCGGTTTGAATGCGCACACGGCTCTTGCCACGCATGCACATTCGGAGCTGAGAGGCAGATCACACACACACTCTCGCGAACAGACGCATACACACTAGCTAACAGACACACACAATTACTGAAAGACACACACTCAGTGACAGACATACATACACACTCACTGACAGACACACACTCACCAAATACACACTCACTAACTAACAGATGCACACAAACTAACACACTCAGTAACAGACACACACAGTAACACACTAGCAATAACACACACACACTCTAACACACACACTCTAACACACACACACACACACTAACACACACACTCACACACTCTAACACACACACACTCTAACTCACACACACACACACACTCTAACACACACACGTTTAAAAAAAAAAATAACCCCCCCAGCCTCCCTACCTTTGGGAGAGCTAAGGGGTTCCCTGGGGTCCAGTGGTGTCACCCGGGGGACAGGCGAGGGAGCACTCTCCCCTGAGCCAGAAGATGACGCCAGCCTGCCCGCCGGGTGAAACCAGGGCCAGCCTCGGGGGGCCCTGAGGTGGCCAGCTCCTGGGCCCCCCAGGAGAAGAGACTGGCCACACTGTCATACATACCGGGTCGCAGGGTGGCCGACCCCGGTATGTACGCCACTGACCACGAACAACAGACAGTACACAGGTCCAGAGCCACAAGGTAGGCTACAGAGTCACAAGGAAGCAAGGCAAGAATCAGGATACATGAACAAAGGAAGCAGGGTCAGGGTTACTTGATGGTAGACCAGAGGACAGGAACACAGAACCAGAAAACACAGGAACACAGGACCAGAGGACACGGGAACACAAGACCAAGGAACGCAGGATACAGGACCAAATAGTGCAGGGTCAGAGTCACAGGAACCAGGAAACAATGATCTGACCAGGAGGGAAGGGAGAAACCAAACTATAAAGGTGCTTAACAAGGGCCAGCTGTAGTGCTAAATTAAAAAAGAAATGAGGAATAGTGCCAAACAGTGAGAGTGGTGAGTATAGGTACTGCACGAAGGCTTCATTAAGGAGTGAACCGTGACACACACACACACACACACCACCCCT